TCGTCTAGACTGCGCGTAATTCTAGTAATTGGCCGAATTGAAGCATTGACACTATTTGTGCAAAGGTGACACCGATTACTTTGTACGCCCAATGTCGAGCTATAGATCGAGTCTTAGATATCTGAGCGAGAGTGATCGGGTCCGCGAGGTATTGGACTTTGGCCGCTCCACAGTTGGAGCCCTGTTTGAGGCGAGGAAAGGCGTGTCGGCTTATTATGTGAGGTGCGGAATGTATTTTATGGCATATTCTTTTCAATTGGTTTATAGCGAGCATTTGAGCAGCGTCCAACCGCCTTCTCGCTGGCGGTGCATTCTTGATGGACGATCGGATGCATACCCGTTACTGCTTCGGCAATCTTTGTGCCACGATGCATTAAATGGTTACCGAAACTGAACCCTGTAACTCTATAGCGATTTGCGGTGTAACGCAGGCTGGTATGAAAGCTCAACGTAATCTCGCATCACTCGTGATGATGCAAAGCGAAGCACGATACTCGATCTAGTGAGCACAAGTGGGTAACATGCTTCATACGTCGTAGTACATTGCAATCGCGTACTAGATGAGTTGTACGGGTGAGCCAATGTACACGCTACTCCCAATTTTTGACCGTCTCCAGTGAAGGCGGTCGATGTGATGTGGCAGCAGCCCACACTCCCCCAAGGCTGCCACGTGCATCCAATCCAATGGCAGCAGATATTATATTTCATCCAATCCCATCGCAGGAGATATTGATTGTGACCAATCAATCGTACGTCTTTTCCAACCCAAACAGATGGTAGCCACTTAATATTGCGCCTTGACGGGCTACCACGTCGTGCGCTGGGCGCGCTCCGAACGCGCATGGCGACCTCGCTGGCCAACGAGCAGCGCGGGACGCGACCTACTGGCACTCGTCGTATTTGGTAACTCAACTGGATGCGGCTGGTTTCCTGGCGCCGGTAGAATCGAGGTGCTGGCGAAACCGTCCTAATCGAAGGGACCTCAAAGGGCGTCAGGTAGGGGGCCTACCCCTTTTACTTTTTTTGCACTATTTTTAAACCAATGTGCCAAAATATATGAGTATGCAATAAAATAAAAAGGACGCCTCAAAAATCAAGGTGGTCGCGTCGATGAGATGCGGTGTCGGCAAGCATGCATGCGCGCTCTTCGAAGGCCGACTAAGGGCGCGCGAACCTTCAACTAACTAAGGGGTGGCTTCCATTTTCCAGAGAGCTTGAAGCAGAGGCTGACGATGGCGGGCCGCTTTGTCACGAGTCGCTCCAACCCCGGCGGATTGGCCGTGTACGAGCTTGACACGGCGAGCGTCTCGGCGGTCTTTCCCTCGCACGACGTCCCGACAGCGCTCAAGGCCATGGTCGAGGTCTCTCTCCGTGACGTCGGCAGTCTCATTGCCAAGGACACCCATGACATCGACACGGCCAAGCTCCAGGCCTTCTTTCCTGACGGCCTCCGGGCCACGGATGAGCTCGTCGTGCTGCCGTACAACGATGTGCGCACGCAAACAGTGGGCCTCACCGACCTCCCGGCACTTCCTCTCGGCCACCGCGCTGCGTTTGTCGGGCACTTCAAGCTGGAGCTCGCACCGGGGATCGACACGACGCGGTTCATCGCAATTGGCGGCCCGCAACTCGAGCTCCTTCTTGCGGGGAAGCATCGACTCATGAAGTGGAAGCGCGACGTGGAAAAGCTTCTTGAAGGCTCCGCATCGATCCCGGTTAACGCGCCGACGACGCCTCAGCGTATCAGAGGCAACCCACGCTTCATGGCGACTCCGTCGCCCCAGCGTATTCGAGGCAACCCGCGCCTAATGACGTCTCCGTCGGCTCGACGCTTGGCGCCGCTGCCGTCACTATCGCCGCTTTTGATCGATTTTATTCCGCTACCGTCGCCGCTGTCGTCGCCGGCGTCGTCGCCCGCCATGAAGAAGAAGGCCGGCGCGCGTCTCAAGGCGATGGCGGAGCTGGACCCGATCAAGGCGATGATGACGGCGTTCGACGACGCCAAGACGCCCACGTCGTTCAAGACGCCGAGATCGTCGGCCGAGACGCGCGATTATTTCCTCAGAGTACTTTGGCCCGAGGCGCCCACGTTCTCGACCAAGATGTCGACCAAGGAAACGTACAAGGTACATTTCGGCGCGCTGCTCATCGCCGAAGCCCAAGCCGCGATCGTCTGTGGGTATGTTTCCTCTCGATATTGCTCCGTGTTCTCATATTTTCCGCGAAATGTAGGAAGAAAACGCTGCCCGCTACGTCCACCGCACTCGCGGCCTCGTTCGAAGGCGTCTCGGACCCCAACGTGGCGACGTTCCAGACGCTTGAAAAGAACTCGCTCATCATTGGCGACGTCGTCCGACTCAAGGTGCGTCAATCAACTGCCTCTTCTCTTTATATACGCATAAAATGATTAGGTCGACAACGCGCGACATGCGATCGGCGTCGTCGAGCGCGTTTACGGGCCCATGATCGACGTCGTCCTCCTCCAGGCGGACAAAAAGGCGCTCGACCTCCCGAAGGCCAAGGCGATCGAAGCCAAGGTGGTCACGTCGCTGGTGACAACACTGCGAATGCTCGAGGGCGTCGGCTCCGTCGACAAGTTGCCCGAGCACTTGCGCGACGTTGTGCTCAACCAGTCGCGAGCCGCCGCGACCGTCTCGGTGCTCAAGGTTGCCGCAACGAAGCTGCGCGGCGTCATCCAGACGTCGACCGGGTTGCCCAAGATGCCAACCCAGGGCAAGGGCAAGGCCAAGGCCAAGAAGAACAAGGTACATTGTTTTCTTTGCACTGGCTCGCCTCACATATTTATGCAATAGATGCCCACGGAAGACGAAGACGCCGTGCTGACGCTCTTGACCGACCTCGCCAAGATGAAGATGTCGGTCGAGAGCCTCGAGGTACGATATTCCTTGATTTTCGTCTCCATGGCTCATTGTTTTTATGCCTAGGCAACCAAGATCCACGAGGTCGTGGCCGAGCTCAGCGATAAGGACAAGGCGCCCACCAAAGCGATCGCGATGGCGGCGGCCGCGCTTGGCAACTTTTACAAGTTGCTCATCACAGTAAACCTACCTCTTGTCTACACACTGCGTGAAACTTATTTATTTCTGCTTTAGCCGTCGCTCTACGACGTGGACGTCACGGTGGCCGGGCTCCTCGCGTCCGACATGAACCCGTCCCAGTTCAAGGCGCTGCGTCGCGGCCTCGGCAACCTCGAGACGGGCATCTCGCTTTGGAAGGGGCCGCCGGGTACCGGCAAGACGTCGACGATCTGCGCCCTGCTCTCGGCGCTCCTCTCCAAGGCCTCGCCGTCCAAGGGCCGACTGCCAAGTGTCCTCGTGACCTCGGACTCGAACGCCGCGATCGACGAGATTATCGAGCGCGTCTTCTCGGTCGGCATCTACCTCGTCGGCCACCCCACGAAGGTCCAAGCGCAGCTGCCGCGCCCGGAAGGACCCGAAGAGCCCGCGCTCACGGCCGTCAAGATGGGCACTCGACATGGCGCGCGGGACGTTGGCCTCGCGACGGCGGCCGCGCACTACAAGGCCGAGATCAACGACGCGCTCCGCAAGCTTCCCGCCAACGGCAAGCGCGCCAAGAACCTCAACGTCGAGAAGAACCTGAGCAAGTGGGACCTCTTTGCGCGCATTGCGGGCCAAGCCAACATCATTTTTGCGACGCATTCGTCGTGTGCGGGTTCCGACATGGCGTACAAGCTCCGGCAATCGGGGTACGCCTCTCTCTCTCACCTGATGAAAACTCATTTGTTGCATCTGTAGCTTTGACGCCGTTATCGTCGACGAGTGCGGCCAAGCGACCGAGCCGAGCTCGCTTCTCGCGCTTCTCGCGCAGGCCGGTCGGTTCTTTTTTGTCGGTGACACCAAGCAGCTCGCGCCGACGGTGCTCAGCAAGACCGCGGAGGAGCACGGTTTGGCCGTCTCGCTCATGGAGCGCTTGGAAGGGTATCTGCCCGTGACGATGTTGAACGTACGTACTGCCAATTCTCTACAAATATTTTTTCTCACATAAAATCTGTAGGAACAACATCGCATGCACCCATTTATGAGTGCATTTACGACCAATGCGTTCTATCACGGCGCCTTGACGGACGCGCCGGCGATCGCGCAACGTGTGCTGACCCAAGACCCGGCCATGTACGCCCACCCGATGTTCCAGCCGCTCACGGTCGTCGACATGGCGGGTGTCGAGAAGCTCGTCGGCACGTCCAAGCAGAACGACGCCGAAGCCACGTTTTGCATCGACCAGGTCCGTCATTCGCGGCGCACGTCACACTGACATTCCTTTTTTGTAGATCGAGCAACTCATGCTGACATACCCACAAGTCCAGAGCGGCGAGTGGAGCATCGGTATCATCACGCCGTACAAGCCGCAAGTGCACAAGCTTGTGGCTGCCATTGACGCCAAGGTTGCGGCCAAGATGATGGACAAGAAGAAGAAGATGGACTTCAAGCCGTGGACCAGCATCGAGGTGTCGTCGGTCGACGGCTTCCAGGTACTTACTACCTCTCGCTAGACGAGACGGTCGTTTGGTGACGCATCTGTCATTTAACGTAGGGTCGTGAGAAGGACATTATCATCGTCTCGTGCGTCACGAGTGGCAAGATGGGTTTCCTCGCCGACGACCGACGCACGAACGTCATGACATCCCGCAGCCGCCGCTTCTGCCTCATCAACTGTACGTGTATCGTCTTTGGATGATGATGATGATGATGCTACATGACAATATATGTAGGCAATGCCTCGGCGCTGCAAGGCCACGCGACGTGGCGCAAGCTGTTTGCGCATGCCCAAGACAAGTGCGCGTTTGTCGACGCCGGCACCAAGAGCTTTGCGGCCGTGTGGGCCAAGACCGAGGCGGACGACGACCTCAAGGCCCGCGTCTACCGCCAGCACGTGACGCTTCGTGCGACGCTCGAGCAACACGATGACGAAAAAGAAAAGGCGGATCCGGATGATGAAGAGAAGAAGGCGGACCCCGATGAGGAGGAGAAGAAGGCCCCGGACGAGGAAGAGACCAAAAACGAGACGCTTCCGGACGCCAAGCGCAAGCGCGGCGAGAGTCCCAAGGTATGCCTCTACTATTGGAACACCATGTATCTCATTTGTCTCGGCAACTAGAGTCGCGAAGATCGCAAGAAACGTCTCGATGCCGCGCGAGGGGTGGGGCAATAGTGCGATATCGCTCCGATGGCTCATGGGAACGTGTAGAAGACGCGTCGAACGTGACCAAGGACGACGCAGGCCAGCATGAACCGTCTCCAGCCCGCGGAACCGCTCTTCTCATTATTTTATTCATATTTAATGCGTATTTAACAAGCATCTGCATGAGGGTGATCGATATCGATGCGCCTTGAGGGGCTACCACGTCATGCGCTGGCCGGTCTCCGAACGCGCATGGCGACCTCGCTGGCCAACGAGCAGCGCGGGACGCGACCTACTGGCACTCGTCGTACTCGGTAACTCGTACTCGGTAACTCAACTGGATGCGGCTGGTTTCCTGGCGCCGGTACAATCGCGGTGCTGGCGAAACCGAGGTGTATTGTTATTGGAGCAGGAATGCGCGCCGTCGTGATCTTGTACAAGTCGCCCGCATCTCGACTGCGAAGCGCTAAGTTGGCCACCAACGTCGTTCGCTTCCAACGTTTCTGTTATCTAGTTCGATAGGACGACCGACCAGCCGATCCCCGACAGCGTCGTCGAAGCGCTCCAATAGGTCGTGTAGACGAAGCGCGTGCGATTATAAGCTCAAGAAGCATGCCCTGATGCAGTGTTGGACCTGTATCGTTCAGTCTACACGATGGATATGCACGTTGATGGTAGACGCAAGCAGTGACTTCTGGGTGTTTAGCGCCAAACACGTGCAAACCATATTTTGACAACGCACGGATCTTGTCGTCGAGCTAGTCTAGCATTCTTGATCTAGAATTCTCACGCAACCCGCCTCACCTCACCTGAGGTCCAAATGGTAATGAAAGCATGATGATATGCCCTGTGCCCGTCAGTGAACAAGTAAAAGAGTCGTTGAGAAAATGTTGTTGATTGATTAGTTGGTCAATAGCTAGCTACCGATAAAGTTGCCGAGGCCGCGCGTCGTGGCATTGCGTGGTGCGTCGTGTCGACAAGGTGGATAAGAATGTCCAGGGCAGATGTTCCAGAGGGACATAAACCAAGTTAGCGACCCGGTCAAAGCCGCGCGTCTCTCCGAGAAGACGAAAGCCTCGCGCAAAGCTGAGGAGGTGCAGATGAAGCACCTTGGGCCACACGAGAACGACGACGGCGCTGGAGTGGCCAGGCCAGACGAGCGCGCAAACGACGTGTTTCGCGCGCGCTGGCGAATGACCTTCAGCGTCGACGGGCCAAAAGCGGGACGCGGAGCACGTCCATGGCATGACATAACGCGCGAGCAAATGCGCCCAGCGCAAGCACGGTGTGTGCAAAGAATCTTATCAAATCGGAGGCACGTGGCGTTGGAGGCCCATGCGTCGGCGTCGAGGCCGACAACCGTGTACTGAAGCTGAAGGCGGTATGTGAGGGCGGCGGGGCAAATTCAATTCTGCTGATCCTCACACACCATGCTGCCGACCCGACGTCTTTTTCCCCTACAGTTGTACTTGCACGCGCTGCCACGTCATTCGGAAGTGCAAACCACATCACGATATTTCCCCACAAGCAGATAATGAAGGACCAGCTACAATGTAGTAGGACGGTCGAGGCACCTTGAGATAGCTACATCTTCGCAAAACAGCGTGATCGGAAGCGCTCGGCGACGTGCCAAGCTCGTATTCCGGTGGAGCATCAGGGACCCACACAGGAAGCAAATCTCGTTGGCGAGGGCAAAAAAGACCTTGTGCGTAGCACCGCGTGTGCGAGACCTTTGCATTTGTTTTGCAACTTGATTCAACGCGAACGCGTTCCTACAGTGCACTAGCAAATCAGCGTCCATTCTGCGGTTTGCTGGGGCGCCACATGCGTAGGATGCTGCGAGAGCGATCGTGTGGTTCAATAATATGCGTTTGGCTAGCTTGAAGTTACTGACCTTATTTTATTCAAGGTCTTCTATCCAAGATATGCACCTGGTCTAATATCACGTCTCGTATTTCAGTTGCAAGCTGTTGTACACGGAGAATGCGTAGCATAGCCCGCATACCGGTACAAAGGACGGAGCGACAGCCCACCGATCGGGTACGTACTAGTACGACGTCGCCCGCCGCCTGTGTACGAGGCATGGTCGTTAGCGAGGGCAAGATGCCGCGGAGCTTCACAAACACAAGAAATCATCAAGCAGCATCTTTCGCGGCTAACTTCACGCTCTGCAACGCTGGAGAATCCATCTTCATGCATCCAACGCAAGTGCAACATGGCTTCATGACGAAGCTCATGAAATCCTGCGCTGGCCGATCTATACTACGTCCCACTTCAACCTGGTAAGTTTCAGCCAATCGAAGCGCCGGAATGTATTTGGTCATCTCCGATTGGCCATATGGGAGAACATTCGAGAGAACGGGTGCTTTGGTCCCAGTTTCGCATTTTCGATGAAGTCGTCTTGCCAGCTACGCCTCGAACAGCGCTGCGCGGACGGTAGCGTCGCGACCGACGCCTCGGAGAAGCTCCAAGCCATGTGGGACCGCATCTCGGAGGCCCGCCGAAAGCGCCGCCAGCAGCTGAGCCACCGACGCCAAACGGCGCAGAGCCATGTGTCTAAGGCCATCTCGGTCGCCCGCGCCGTGCACTTGGAAGCCCAGGCTCGCGCCGACGACCAGCTGCTGCGTATTCAGTCGCGTTTGGAGGCGGCGGAGCAGCGGCGCCTCGAGCGCCTCAACCAGACGGCGCAAAACTGCCAGCAGCGCAACGAGCACATCATGTCGACACTGCAACATCAAGCCGACCGTCTGATTGAGAAGCGCCAGCACTACGATGCGTCTTTGCATGCAGCGCATCACCGTCGCACGCAGCTCACGACGGCGTACGTCTCGAAGCTATCGCGTCATGCGCTTCGTATCGAGCAGCACAAGCGCGAGCGCGTCCATGCCCGCCAAAGCCAGGCCGCGACGCAGCTGCAGACGTGGTTCCGGTCGTGGAAGCACGTACGGCAGGCATTTTCGATCGCGATGCCCCTCGCCCCCGCGATGCAGACGGTGATTTCGGCGTGGTCGCACATCAGCAACGCGTCGTTTGAGAAGAGTATGGAGCTTGTCCAGAACCGCAAGACTGCGGCGGCGGCCCACGTGTTGACGAAAGCGCTGAGCCCGGTCCCGATGTCGTACCGCGTTCTTCTCATGGCTGGCATGTTTGCGCACCACCCAGCTGACACGATGGTCGACAGCCAGTACAGCGCGCCATTGGCCTGCGCGGCGTCCCGTCTGACGGACGAGCTCGCTGCGCTGCGTGAAACGCTCAAGGTTCGCTCGCTCGTGGCGTTTGCAGCGTCCTGGAAGCGCTGGGAAGCGTACTGCCTCAGCTACCAAGCGCTCTTCAACTCGTGGAAGGCCAACGACGCTGCGCAACTCGATGCGGACATGCTCACGATCTACGCCGAGGTGTACGCGGTTCACCTTGCGGCCACGCGCACGGGCTCAGCCGATGTCCACGACAAGTCGGGCCGCCAGATGGCGCAGCTTCGCGCGTCCATGGAGCAGTCGTTTGGACCAACGGTCGCGGCTTCAAAGCTGGCCAAGGTGGAATCCAGCGTCGCCAAGCAGATGGCGCCCAAGACGCCGCCGCCAACGGAGGCCAAGGCGACGCCACCGTCAAGCCCGATTCGCAAGCCGCTCTCGAAGCCGGACCTTGGCTTTACTAAGGAGGTGTTTGCCAACGACCGGCTCGCGCACGAGCTCATTCTGAACCCCAATTACCAGATCCCGTCGCTGGACGATGCGCCGCTGACCTTGCACGCGACAGTCGCCCAGACAATGCGCCAGGCGTTCTGGGACCAACTGGCGGCAACGCGCGACCGCGCACGTATTGTCGGTTCATTTGTGGACTTGCGGGACCAGCTCACGGCGGTGCTCAAGCACAAGGCACTGGCGACGGCGCTTCCGACGGCGCACCTCGAAGCACTCGCGAGCTCGTCGTCCTGGGACGAGTGGGCGACCGTGCTGCAGCAGATGCTGCGTGCGATCTTGCACGGCGAAGCGCCGGCCCGCACGAGCTCGACCCACGCGTGGCTGAACCGGTCGCAGGAGACACCGGCGTCCGAGGCGGCGTGGGTCGAGGCGCTCGTCCGTTTCTTGCAGTTTGGTTTTGCCAAAGTGGACGAGATCCAAATCGACTCTATGAACGCGCACCTCAAGCTCCTCGCGCCGTACGTCGCCCGGCACGGCGTCGAGCACGAGCAAAAGAAGTTTGCGCTCAAGCTCGAGCAAGGTGCGACGACGCTTGCGGCCACGTCGCAGTGGCTCACGCGGCAATTGGCGACCGCGGCACCGACCTTGCGCGACGCGCTGACTGCTGGTGACCGCCGCGCGTACCGGTCGCTCGTGCAAGACGCCTTTGTCGGCTTGGTGACCAGCGGCATGGCGGTGGATACGCCATGGCCCGAGACGTTGGAGCTGGACAAGGACCGCGTCCGCGATTTGCGCAACCAGATGGACGTGCTCACGATGCAAGCGTGCCTCGTTACGCTCATCCAAGGCGCGCTGGCGCCGCATCATGTGGCGTATGCACCCAAGGACGCGGCGGCCTTTTGCGACCAAATTCGCATCCTGGCGCACGCCGACGAGACGCGCCTGCCCGACTTGGCCGTGCACGCGTCGGCCGTGGCGGCGCGGGTGCTTGGCGCCAAAGGCCAAGCGCTTGATACGGCGGCCTTGGAGCGCCGTGCCGAGCACATGCTCGACCCTGCCAATGCGGTCTACAAGCTCTTCTTCCAGCGCGTGACGCAGGCGCTCACCTCGTTCCTCCAGACAAACGAGATGGAGCTGCACCCAACGCTAAGCGTGCTCGCGCCGCATGTGACGACGATGGTGCAGGCCGCTGCCAAGCTCGCGCGCCACAATGAAGCCGTCCATTGCCACTACTACAACCGCCTCATCCGCGAAGCCTTGTGAGCAAATGCATAAGACTGTGTAATGGCACGACTGTTTTGAGCGAGGTTTGGTGTGCGCTTTGCGGAGGCCTACATGGAGGGCGGAGGCGGCGGGCCGCGAGGAATACCGCCACGCTTGTTCATAAACTGACGGTACTCGCGCTTGCTCGTCTTGCGCACGGCCCCGGAGGCTGGACCGGCGACGTTGTCGTCGACTTGTTGGCCCTTGGTCGTGTTGAAGCCACCAAAGCCCATGAGCGCCATCATTTTCTCTTCCTCTGTCAAGCCATCATCGGCGTCGGCCGTTGCTTCGACCGCGTCTGTGGTCGTGCTGTCGCCATCGCCTTGCAGAATACGCTCTCTATCCACGACGGTACGATAGGAGCGTCTCGTGAAGCGTGTACCTGTAGTCGCGGGCCGCGTCGCTCTCTTCGGCGGTGTTGCGTTTGGGAATCGGGCTTCGACTACGGCGATACGAGCGCGGAGGACTCGGGCTGCGACGTGAGCGCCGAGGCGGCGACGGCGAGTCTCGGTGGCGACGGCGGTCAAACGACCGAGACCGCGACCGCGTTTGCCCGCGACCACCACGACGGTCGCGTGGCCGGTCCCGACTGCGATCCCGACTGCGGTCGCGGCTGCGCTCTCTGCTTCGATCGCGACCGCGCTCGTTCGGTCGCCCACGCGGCTGGCGGCGACGGCCCCAGCTGTCCAGCGACCCGCTGCGGCTCCGGCTTCGTCCCATGCGTGGTGCGGAATGTGCAATTGCCGGATGTTATCCGGATAGCCGATCGAAACCAGAGGTTTACAGGAGGTGGAATTTGGCGCCAGATCTTCTGGACCAGACATGCCAACTAGATTGCTGCCCGCGCAGTGCGCAGCACCACATGTGCTTAAACCAGATCGTCCATCTCGTTCCACATTTGCGTATCCTTGTTGACATCAGAGAAAGATCGCGGCTTCGCAACGACGACCAACACTAGCAACGCCATGTACTAGTACAGTGTACTGCGAAACAGTACATGAACACTGTTTTGACCCGCTGTTTCGCACATCAACGCTGGAGGACCGCGTCCGCTACGGTCAAGCTCCAACGTTGTTGCTGCTGTGATGGAAGGACCGCTGCTGCTGCTGCTAGTGCTGGGACCCCTGCCGTAGCTGGCACGGCGCGAGGGGTGGTCCCTTGCTCGCCTCCACGCATTTGATTGGTTGGTTTGGAGCTGGGCCAATGAAGGGCGTTCGAAAAAAAGATATTGTCAATAAAATACCTTGCTGTTTGTATTGAGTGGTGGATATTGAATAAAAAAACGAGGATTTCTCGGCAAGATCTGCCCCACGATTTCGTCCAACATTTTCGGAATCGGCCTGCGATGGACTTGACCGCGGGGAAGATCTGGAAGGTCGACGCATGCATTGGCATGATGGGCGACCCGTACATCGGGGCGACGGAGCTCGATGGGGGTCAGCTCGGGAACGGCCTCCTCCTCGTCTCCCACTTCCTCGGCCTCGAGGACGACGACCGCGTCAAGGCCGTCGCCGCGAGCCTCCGCGACGCGGTGTCATGGGCGCAGACCGAGACCAAGGATGCCAAGGAATTCACAGACGCAATGGGCAAGTTCAAGGACTACCTCCGGGACATGCAGGTCGGGACGCCGTACATCATCCCCGGCGGCTGGGTCGGGAAGCTCTCGCGGAACGCGGTCGTCTACATTGTCGAGAAGACGGCGGCCGATGAGTACTCGTTCACAGTGTGCAACCGCGGGCCTGGCAGCGACTACCATCCAACGGACCCGACGCAGCTCAAAATGAAGGTGCAGTCGTGCGCGACGATCGCCCATGTGCCTTCAAGCCGCATGCTCGACCTCTCGTTCTGGAGTCTTGCCTTTTCGCTCTGGCTGAAGAACCCGCCGTCCGAGTACCACCGCATGGAGACGCTCTACGACGTGCTTTTGCCATGGCTGGCCGACTCGGTCCTGCCGCTTGCGTTTGCGACGTCGCCGGACGTGTACTTTTGCACACCGCAGCGCAGCAACACAGGCTTTGTCAAGAACGTGGTCGAAGCCGCCAAGTTTCTCTTGCGCAAGAGAGGGCTCTCGGCTTTTGAAATCAAGCGCATCATGTTCCGCGTGCGATGGAGCATCCTCAAGCAGATGCGCGACGACTTGATTGCTCTCGACGACCCGACACTGCCCTTCAAGACGTCAGCTGTCGAGGTATGCGCATCTCGGCGGCAGCTACTGAATGTCTCACGGCGTTGAACCTGTAGGCCATTCAAGCGCTGGCAGGGATTTCTCTCATCGACTCGCTGCAAGGCAGTCGCCAACTGCCCGACGTGATTGCGGACGCTCCGGTCATTGGTGTCTACTTTGCGAGTCTGAGCTGCCCTGCGTGCAAGACGTTCCGGACAAAGCTCATCCGTCTCTGCGACAGCCTCACGGCCGCCGGTCGCCGCATCGCGATCATTGTTGTGCCGCTCGATTCGACGGACGAAGAGTACCAGTCGCACCTCATGTCGCTTCCCGTTTCGTGGGCGTGCGTCCCGATCACAGAGATGGCGGCGCGCAAGAAGCTCGTGCAAGCGTTCCACGTCTCAAAGATGCCGCAACTCGTCGTCATGGACGCAACGGGCGCTGTCAAGACGCCTCTGGTATGCCACTCGTTTGCACCTGCATCACGACTCACTTTGCGACGATCTAGGGCGTTGAACTCGTCCTCCAGGATCCCATTGGCGAGCACTATCCGTGGGTGCCGTCCGACACGTTCCAGCTGCCGCTGCCGACGCTTTCGGACACGGAAGGCGCGTGCATCCACATGGCGCTCAAGCAAACGGGCCTGTCGGCGATCAAGCAAAACGCTGCCGGCGGGCTCTTGACGGATGACCTTGTCGCCGTGCACGAGCTCATCCAAGACATCGACGCGAAGCGCGCGTTGATTGCCGCCAAGGTGCCGGCGCCTGAAGACACGTCCAACTGGCAGTTTGATCGCCAAGTACCGCTGCTTCCTTTCGAGCACATGGAGCACTTTAAGGCCGCGAGCGTCGATGGCTACGCAGGCAACGTCGCCGAGGCCGTCGTGCCCGTGCTTGCAAGCATGCTCGACGTCCCGGAGCGCGTCGGTACGATCGAACTGGCGGCGGCCGCCTTTATTCGCTGCGAGGGCGTGTGTCAGTCGCTCTTGCAGCGTGCGGGAGACGGGTCATCGTCCTCGCGCGTCGCGCTGCACCATGAAGTCATCCAACTTGTCACGACGCTCTTCACCGAGACGATTCCCGTGCCGTCGATTGCGGACGACGACATGTGGCGGCAGCCCGTCGGGAAAGAGCTGCAGTTTGGCGTCTTGAAGAGCATTCACAACCTCGTGCTCATTCTCGGCATCGTGTGGCAGTCGATTGAGCGGCCGTCGCGCAGCTTGGACGCCACGCGGGCCCTCGCCTCGATCTGTGCGCTGGCCATGTACGACGCCACGCTGCGTGCAGTTGCTGTCGACACGCCGATGGAGATGTCGCTGCTCATGGCCGAGGGCTATGTGCTTGCGAATTCGTTTTGCCAAAACAGCCGGTCGCTGCTCGAGACGGCGCGCGCGATGGAGCTTGTGCAGCCGTCGTTTGCAGTCGTGCGTGGTCGCGTCCTGGCGTACTTTGCGTCGCTCAACACGCTCACGCCGCTCTTTGAGCTGCGCATGCCGGACGAAAAGGTCGAGCTCAAAAAGTACAGCACGACGTTTGGCTTTCTGCGCAAGCTCATGGAGCTGTACAACTACCCGCTCATTGCGCCCGACGACGCCAACCCGCCGAGCGAAATGGAGGCGCTCGTCGACTGGTTCCTCTCGGACTCGACGCCGCTAGCCGAGCAGCACCCCGAGATGGCCCAAACACGCGACCTGGTGACAATGTGCAAGTTTCTGTGCACGATGGAGACGCGCGAAGACGAGCTCATGCGCCGCCGCACGGGTCTGCGCCAATGGCAGATGTGGTCGCTCACGTTTGACGAGGCGACGTCGCGCTACGGCCGCCGCTTCAACATCTCGCGCAATTTTCTCGCTGGCAAGCTCAAGTGGGAGGTTGCCGGTTTCCGTGGCATTGACCAGGACATTGCCGACATTGATGTCTCGGGCTTTACCCAGCGCAAGCTCTTTTTCGGCGAGGGCCCCGTCGTTGTGAGCCCGGCGTCGCTGCCGCCACTGCTCCAGACGTCGCTGCCCGTCGTGACGGAGGATGATGTGATGCACACAGATGCGCTGCCGCTCTTCCAGGGCACGCTCTCGTCGGAAGAGTCGGAGTACCTCCTGAGCTACCTCACTGTGCCGTATACGCGCATTCCGCTCGTCTTGGGCTTTTTCGCGTCGAGGGACCGCGTCATGTACCTCTTCAACCCGCTTTTGCAAACGCTGCTGCGCGCTGTGCTCTTTGAAGGCGGCGACTGGGTCCTGCGCACGAACGGCGAGTCGAGCGCCGAGATGATTACGCACGTGCCACTGCGCAAGAGCGGTCTCGTGCTCCAGGAAGAGGCGCTCGAGCAGGTGCTGGACGCGCGCGTGCACCACCAAAAGGCGGCCGACCACCTTGGCACGATGAACGGTCTGTTGCTCAATGAGCTCTCGCATGCACCCGAGGCGACCGTGCGCCCGATCCTTCTCATGCTTCAGGCGATCACAGAGCTCGGCGAGGCGTCAGTGCACTCGTCGGACGCGAGCTTCATCTTGTACATGCTCCAGCTCAGTGTCGACGTCCTGCGATATGTGACGTTTGCCGTGTACGAGCATACGCACGTGTCGGCGACGACGTTGGCGACGCTCCAGGCGCTGCGCAGCGAGCTCGTGGACCAGCTCTTTGGCTTTGGGCTCACGACGCTCGACAAGTGGCGCATGGAGGCCGAGGCGAAGGACGACCTCCGCACGGCGTGCGTCATCCACTCATACGTGGCGCTTCTCTTTATGAACCTGCGCGTCGACGAGTACACGCCGGCGCGGCTGGTGACGCTCCTCGGAAGTGTCGCGTACGTGCGCAATTGGCACTGCTTTGGCATGCACGTGCTTCTGGAAGACGAGTCGGAGCTCTCGAGCGAGCAACGGCTTTTGCGCTGGCTCCAAGCGCATGGTATTGACACGAAGAACGTTACGACGGGGTCGTTGGACAAGTACCTCACGGATCGCCCCGTCTTTTTGAAGGTCGGCATGGAGATCATCCAAGCACCGAGCATTTTGAAGAAGAAGCCAAAGGAGGATGCGACCAACGTGTTGTACCCGCCGGCGGGCGTTCTCGAGAGCGAGCTCTTTGAGCTACTGCAGGTGAAGCGCCGGTCAATCGTCGACTTTGCCCAGTCGCTTTCGACGAGCGATTGCAACGCGCTGCTCAACTCGATCCTGCACATTGCGCTTCGGGCCAAGACTGTACCGACGCACGAGTGGACGATGGACGCTGGTGTGGCCGGCACGGGTCGCTACGTGTGCACGCAGGCCGAAATGAAGATTGATCTGCAAACGGGCGAGATTCTCTGGCGCAACGACGAGCTCAAGCCCGTGCCCGACTCGATGGTGCAGTTTTCCGACTACCGCCACCACTTTGGCAACGAAGCGCTGCATTGCGGCCTCGTCGCACGCCAAGCACACCGCCTCTGGGTCCACGTCATTGGCACCGAGTGCGAGCTCATGGAGTGGGACGAGCCGTCGCCCGAGGACCAAGGCGTCGACACGCCGACGGTGTTTCTTCCACCCGTGCCGGCCGCGACGCCCGCCGTACCGAGCGACGCCAAGATGTACTGGGAGTGCCCGGCGTGTACGTGCGCCAACTTTAACGGCGACCAGCCCAACGCCGCG